CCCCCCCCCATACACAAAATAATACCTTCGGAGTAAGTTTGTATGCCAGGCGGATTGTTTGTGAGTATATGTGCGGTGTGCTGACAAAATGAGTTACTTTTCGCTATCCACAATTGAAGATATTGGCAAAAAATCAATACAGGGGTCAAACTTGTAGTTTTTATTAATGTCATATTCTTTAACTATAACATGTCTTTTATTATTTTATCCTAATAATTTGTCAAAACTTCACCTATAAGAGTGATGAATATATCTTTTTCCATAAGGTTTGAATACAAGAAGTAACTCATTATGTCAGCACGCTTCACATATTTGTCTGGCGTGAAGGGAGTGGGTGAGCCAGCGTCATGTCTGCGTAGAGTGTGAGTGTGTGATTAATTGAGCAAGTGTTATACCCATTGCCCATAGGCATGATCGATTAGCGTCTGTTCGGTTTGCTAGCCAGATTGAGGCCGCAAAATCGCCCGACTCGTCACCTTATACGGGGTGCCCACTACGGCTGGGTTGTCGGGCAGATCGCCCGACTTGGTTGCCTGAAACTGAAAACAAACACGTTTGCTTTTGGGGCGTCGGAGTCGAGCGATCGGCCCGATCAGCCGATCCCATCCGTAAAGCACCCCGTGTTAAGAACAAACGTGTTTGTTTTCAGGCGAAGAGTTATATGGGGTGCCCACTACAGCTGGATCGGGCCGATCGCCCGACTCGATCGCCTGAAACTGAAAACAAACACGCTTGTTTTTGAGACGATCAAGTCGGGCGATCGGCCCGATCGGCTGATGCCGTCCGTAGTGAGCACCCGGTAGGCGATTGGTTGACGATCGGTCTGCCGATCCCCCAGTGCGTCTCAACCAGATTCGTCCATGTGTTTTTTTCGGTAGAGAAATTTCTTTTCAGTGAGGCGAAGTGCTTTGGTTTGTGAGTGATACAACGCCATTGATATTTCGTTCCCGAGAATATCTACGCCACGGGAGCCAACCTATTAATTTTACTGACATTTTATCCAGCTGTCCGTGAAAAGAGTTGATCCGGGAAAAAACTGACCGTTCATTCAAAAGACAATAATACATCCAACCAAAAGGTTTTGTATTTTTACGAGCATGCCAGGCACAAAAGAGGCTCTTTTGCCAATGTAATTTATCAGCAGTAGTAGCACTATGAGGGTCTTTTAAAAAATTATTATTATTATTATTATTATCA